GGAGAACTCTGAAAGGGAGAAAGAACGAAAAAATTTTAGCTGAAATATCTAAGCATTTGCTCTTAAAAGTCAGTGGAAAACTGAAATATGGAACCTGCATCTATCTTGAGGAGCACTGTTACAGTGGTAAAGGGCTTATCTGTGAACCAAAAACTCAGTGGTTTGAACCCCAGCCACTTCGTGGGAGAAAGATGTGGCAGTCTGCTTCCATAAAGTTTTATAGCCTTGGAGACCCTACGGGCCAATTCCACTCTGTCCTATAGTGTTACTATGAGCAGAAATTGATTAGATGACAGTAGGTTAGTGGATCATCTATCTTGCACTGTCAAGTTTATTCCAATTGTCTGGGTAATGCAAATTCACAGATACTCTATTATTTGTCTTCAGTGGTAAATAACTGCTTCCACTGTTGCAGGCAAAGTATGCAAATCAACCCAGTGTCCAGATCTGCACTATCCAATATGGTAACCACTAGTCACATATGGCTACTGAGCACCTGACAGACATGTGGCTAGAATGAATTGAGATGTGCTAGAGAGGTAAAATACATACTAGATTCCAAAAACCTTAGGGTAAGAAAATGAAAAAAAATGTAAAATTGATTTTGTTTTACATTAAGTGCATGCTGAAATGATATTTTGGATATATTAGGGAAAGTAACATGTATTACTAAATTTAATTGCATCTATTTCTTTTTACTTTTCTTAATGTGACTATTAAGGAGCTCTGGTGGCACAGTGCCTAAGGCATTCTGACTACTAACCAGAAGGTTGGTGGTTCAAACCCACCAGCCACTCCACAGAAGGAACACAGGGCAATCTACTTCTGTAAAGATTTACCGCCTCAGAAACCCAGTGGGGGTCACTATGAGTCAGAATTAACTTGATGGCAGTGGGTTTGGTTTCGGGTTTTTTGGCAATGTGATTATTAAAAAATTTTAAAAAGGGAGGCGGGGCAAGATGGCGGACTAGGCAGAAGGATTGCACAGACCCTCTTCAACAA